TGCACCAAATCATCTGACCACATCGCCCTTATTCTCATCCAACTACCAACCCAACTACTTACCTGTCTGACCTTCTCCAGGAGTGCACCGCCTCCCGCTCCCTGGATCTCCCTACTCCCACACACTCAACAGTCTGACAGCATAACATCCTTCAAATTCCCTCTCAAAACCCACCTATTCAAACAGATGTATGCACACTGAGACTAACTGTCTAACCCTCTGGAAGCCTGTGGGAGAGGGGCAGTGACCTGACCACTGCTGTCCCACCGCCTGAGAACATGTTGTTAAAGGTCGAAACACTCAATGAAGGTGGGTCCCACCTGATGACCTCTCCTTATTGCATCCACTGGATATATTAAGGCGCCTGTGATGTAACATACATTTAAAAATCAATACATAAAAGTTAAATCACTTAATTATATAGGCAAACACATTAAAAAACAACATACAATCAAAGTGCTTTCTGGCTGCAGCAGGTTAGAATCTGACTCAACACAGGTTTACAAGATTAAAGAAGTAAAAGGTGCGTAAGAGGCTGTAGTACATTATGCAACACAATAAAAACAGTGATATAGAGAAGGCAGGACTTAAGTGAAAAAGCTGAAACAGCTCACATGATAAACAAAAAGTCAACAGAAGAAAACAAATAAATACCATGGATGATAAAAGTGACTGAACCTTAAATACTAAGACTGTAATATTATTCTAAGTTAAATTTAAATAGCCTACCAGATTAAAGACACAGGTCTCTAGAGTCCTCTGACAGACTTTCAGCAGCACAGGTGTTGCCACGGTTAGACTAATTAATAATTAAGGGTGGCTGCATTCCATTTACCTGTATTAGTGCCTCGTGCTGCCTCACTGGGACACATAAACGGAACACAGCTTCATTAGTGACATTAATCCCACCTGTGTGTTTGATGCTACAGCAAACAAAGAGTTTTATTTTGTCTCCTGCTTATAGTGAAAAACTGTTAATGTTGCCGGAAGCAACAAAGTAGCTACATGTCCATTTCCTGTCAGTCGCCTAGCAACAGTGCTCGACTGATCGACGAACGTTAACGTTACTTTAGAATTTGAAAGTTAGAACTTCATCAGTTCAGTTTGAGAGACATGAGCACCTAGCGAACTAATGAGTCTAATATTCATTCATCTTTTAATAATTTAACTCTTGTCAGCTTCAGTCTCTATCTTATGAACATAAAATTATATTTTGACTGACCGTGTGCGTTAACAGGCTGCTAACGACGACGCTGAAGTTAGCCTCAGATTCGTGGCTTCAGATTCGGCAGTTAAGGGGAGAGTTAAGGGGAAACTGCTAAACAGCTGATCCTCAGCTTTTTGTACTTTTTATTGTTGTGAAAGCATGTTAGACATTTCAGGTAAAGCCTCAGTGCTACTGAAACCCACTCTAAGATTTGTGAAACCTTTATTCTTTTTGTGAAAATGCAAAAAAACAGATATTTCACTGTGTTTCTCACATGTTTAGACCAGGTCCAGATCAAAAACCACCACACTTAGACAGGTCAAACCTGGACTAAATTATCCCAGAGAGACTAAATACTATTTAAAACACAGTTTTAGATCGTGAAAATGCAAAACGGGGACACTTCACTGTGTTTCTCACATGTTTAGACCAGGTTCAGATCAAAAACCACTATAATTAGACAGGTCAAACATGGACTAGATTGTCCCGGAGAAACTAAAGGTTTTTAAAAACACTTTATTTGTGAAATCTTTATTCTGTTTGAGAAAGGGACATTTCACTGCGTTTTTCACATGTAGAACACATCAGACCAGGTCCAGATCAAAATCCTTTCTACTTTGACAGGTCACACATGGAGTAGATTTTCCCAGAGAGAGTAGAGGTTGATCAAAATGAAATAAAGTGATATTTCACTGTGTTTTTCATATTTAGACCACATTGGGCCAAGTCTGTCATGAAAACCACTTGTCAAACCTGGACTAGATTATCCCAGAGAGACTGGATATTATTTAAAACACAGTTTCAGATTTGTGAAAACTTTATTCTATTTGAGAAGACTGCAATACTACAGTTATCACAGTATTTTATTTTGGAGGACATGAGTGAAATGACAGAAAAATAAATGCAGGACTCTTCCTTTAATTTTACTATATAATGACGTACACTGTGTGTGTGTGTGTGTGTGTGTGTGTGTGTGTGTGTGTGTGTTCCACGTTTTTCTCCTCACTGACTTGGTCAATCCATGTGAAATTTGGCACAGTGGTAGAGGGTCATGGGAGGATGCCAATGAAGCAATATTACATCAATTGCCAAAGGGGGGCGCTATAGCAACCCATTGAAATGTCAAACTTTGAATGGGCATATCTCATGCCCTGTATGTGGTAGAGACATGCAACTTTGCGCAGAGATGCCTCTCCTCATGAGGAACACATTTGCCTCAAGAACCCATAACTTCCGCTTATATAGATTTTCCGCCATTTTTAATTTTTTGAAAAACACTTCAAATGGATCTCTTCCTAGGAAGTTTGAGCAATCTGCATGAAACTGGGTGAACATAATCTAGGGACCAATATCTAAAGTTCCCTCTTGGCAAAAGTTGGAAAACTTACTAAAACTGAGCTTCTATAAGGCAATGAATATTGCGGAGGGCGTGGCTCATCACATAAAGGTGTATAACATCTCAAGGGTTTCACCCATCACCACGCAACTTTGTAGGCATATGACCACACATAATTGAATTGAACTGAATTGAATTTATTCACACACACAGAAGAAGTACAGGTCCTGTTTACATGATTCGTTAGCAGGATGTGTGAATCAGGTCTCCCAGGAAGCTATTTAAAGCTTATTTTAGGGAGCCTGATGCATAAGGCCATCAAAAATAGTCAATCGTAATATTGGACATAACATATATGACAATACAGTAACATTTTACATCCATACTACAAATAACATAAAACAAAAAACATAAAACACAAAGACAAAAGCATCCCCCATTCACTGGTTTGAGTTACAGTCCAGTGTTATTTTATATGTAACTGTTTTCTTAAGCGCAGATAAAGAGGTGAATTCTTTTATGGTGTCATCAAGCTTATTCCATATTTGAGGACCCCTGCAAGTCACACTCATGCTGGCACTTTTAAGATGTCTACTCTTCCCCACAATAAGATGTTTGTGTCTAGTATGGTGCTCATGCAGAGGCCGACAAACCGGAAAAAAGCTCAGTTAATCTTTTGTTGACATTATGTATTACTTGAAACATCAAGCATGTATTTTGGTAAACATTAAAATCCAGTAGTCTAAGGAGATCATATCTGTGGAACAATGGACATGTAGGAGCATTAAATTGAGACCAAGAGATGGCCCCAGTGATTTTCTTTTGAAGAATTTCTAGTTTGTTAAGGTGGCTATAGGGTAAGTATTACACCAAACAACGTTACAATAGGTTAGAAAGCTCATTTCTTATCTAGGCCTAACCGCCATATGGATTTTTACTAAACTTGGTAGATATGTAGAACAGGACGCCTCAAGGTGACTGGAGAAATTTAACTCTAATTGGCAACTGGGTGGCACTATAACAACAGAAAAATGCTTCAAAATGGCTAAAATGTGACCGATCGCTGTGGCTGCAATCGTACTATCAAATTCACAAACACTCTGTCTGAATACATTGCTCTTCTTAATGGGTTCAGTTGATTATTTAATCTGTAATTTCCTATGACCTGTATCCCGAACACACACCATGTGAAACTGTAAGTGAGCAACTGTGCACTCAGTGGGTATGGACTAGTTATTATTATTTTTGAAATATTTATGGGCCTATAGTCTGCATAAAACATTATGGGCTGAATCCTTTAATGCCCAGGTCTAATGATGCTGTTGGTCATAAAATAGCAAAATATAATTTGCAGAGGTGGTTGCCAGTCCAGTGGCTAAAATATTAAGTTAATTATCATATATGCTGACAAAGAGCAGCAGAAGGTCTCATATACATCAGAGCATGATCACTTTTTGGCTGGAAAAATTACCTATGAATCCATTTCCAGATTAGTTGCAGATTAATTTTATTAATAGTTTTTAATGCTAATCCACTTAATGTATTGCTTTCAGAGCTTGGAGACATATGAAAAATAATTAAGATGAACCAGGTGAAAAATGATGTGCTCAGATACAGTGTGAGTGTAGTTTAGGTGAGTTAGTTTGTGAGTCATCAGCTGCTGTGAAGGAAAACTCTTCACCAGTTAGAGAGGGCTCACCACAACGCAGAGAAACAAGGTAAAAAAAAAATCTATAATTTATAAGACTTTACATCAGACTTTATGACGTCCCCTTGGAGATCGCCATGGTTACCTTATGATCCAATTAAAGTTGTGTGCAGCACTGTGTGTCCACGATTATGAAGTAGCTACTGTGTGAAATCAGTGTGTTGGCCATGAGTGTACACACGGTGGCACAATACACACAACAAATACTCCTCGTGCTTTCCTTTGCGCATACACACACACACACACACACACACACACATCTGTAGGCAACTTTAAATCACTCACTCTCACCACATGACAGAAACTATGTCACTGTGGTGTAGTGTAGTGGAGTGATGTGGCTTCATGAGTCATGTAAGGTTACGAGTGTGTGGCCTGTGGAGCTGGATTACATGGCTTTGTACAGTAGGATGTGTGTTTGTTTCTGTTTATATGTTGGGCACGTGATTATGTGCAAGCAGAGGGTCCACCACCACCACCACCATAGACTATATGTCCAAAGCGCGTTTATATTTCCTGCGCATGCATCCGCCGTGCGTCTTTGCCCCATACACACACAGGCCCACTGTACATAAAGGATTAACTACTGTATGTGCGCCTCATGTCACAAATACTAACCTTTAACAGTCGGGTGGTTGCAGCGGACCAACACTCACCCCCACACACACACATTATCTCCCTCTCTCGGTCATATAACACTCTCTATCTGTAGGCTTTTCATTCGCTGATCCTCTTAAACTGATGTAGACTTCCCTGCTCCCGCTGCTGCTGCTGCTGCGCACGACTCTCCCGGTCGGTTCACACCGACACCGAGCACAGACGGGACCGGACTGTCTTGTGTGTGTGTTTTGTTTCTTCATCTTGCTCACAACAAGTTTGACAGCTGCAGAAAACGGTCCATCGGGGAGACATGCATGCGTAAGTGAGCAAAGAGCGGGGTAACGGGAGCTGGAGAGGCTGAGAGATGCTGCACTGGTGAGGAAAAGGGGATCACTGCAAAGCAAGAGGCGGCGGGGAGAAACTTAACGGCAAGCACGAGAATGATTTCATCATTTTCCAGTGTGGACTTGCGCGCTCACATACTTTGATAACATAGTTTGTGTGCTGTAGTCTTCAAACTGTGGGTTGGTTGTATTGTTTTTTTTAGATATCCCACAGCGCAGCTCTCCTTTGGGGTTTCGCAGTGTTTGTGGTACAGCACTCGCAGCCTTGACCTCAGGCTGCTTATCTATCCACCCTGACAGATTTATTTGTGTCACATCACTGTGAAGCTAAACATCTCTGTCAGAGTCTTGGTGTTATTTTGCTGGAGGATTTCAGCAGAGATGGACCAACACATCGCACCATGCGTCACTCCAAACCTGACGGGATATGAAACAACACATCACTTGCTCATCGTTTAAAACCACTGCGACACCTGAAGAGTGATTATTTATTTCTCCATCCCATCACCCTGAGCAATTGAAGTAAACTTTTCCTCTCCGGTCCTCCTCCTCTGTCTCTCCCCCCTCTCTGGTGAAACCTCCGTAGGATCTCCATGAAGCGACGCACCGGGTGATTATACTTTGTTGGGGATTTTGCTCTCTGCACACCGGGACATCATGTGGACGCCGACGGAGGACGAGAAGATAGGAGTGGGTGAGTGCATCCATGATGTTTGTGTGTCTGTTTGTGGGTGCAGTGTCCGGCTGTGTGTGTGTTTATCTGGATGTCCTGTGCACAGGAGCAGAGCTGATAAGGTGCTTGGGGATTGTGTCCAGCTGCTCTTTATTACATGATATTTAATGATAATTTGGTGATTTGGTCATAAAGATTAATTCTGCTGCTTCTTCCTCTGTGGTAATTTGTGATGAGATCCGAGTCTTCTTCCTCTGTAACACTTCTGAAGGGACGCCCGTGGGTCTGTGGAACTCTGCAGGGAGTTTATAGCACTTTATATTTTTCTATGCTGTGTCTACAATATTCCCACAAACTCTTATAGTATTCCCTTTTAGTTATGTGTCTGTGCAGAGTGTGCATTTTGTGACATCATATTACTGTATCAACATTTCTAATCTGAATGTGTGTGTTTTCAAATGCTCTGTGCCACTTGCTTTGGCATCTCACTATGATACAGTCTAACGGGAGCTCTCCTTATAGCTGTGTTGAGGACAGAGATCATTTCACAGGCTTGTTGAGATGTGGGGCTGTGCACCTGATGTAAATATATATGAACACAGAGACTGTGGGCATCGTGGAAAGGATGCGATGATGTGAGGAACAGCACACTGGATGTATCAGGTCTGTGTTAATAGACAGCGCAGGTGACTCTGCAGCAGGACAGCAGTGATTTATCATCCACTATTATATTGCAGTATAATGAGAGTGAATGTTTTCAGATGAGAGTTGGTGGTTTAAGGGCCATTAGCCAATGATCCAGCATTCAATTATTCTCTCTGTCTCTCTCCTTCCCTCTCTTCCTGAGCCCCCCCACCACACCCCACCCCTCTGTATCTGTTACCGCACACGGTCATTTCCTTGCCACACACTCGTGGGCCTATCTTATAACACTGCTGACTGCTTTCTTGCGCCTGTACCATCCTCATGTATCCTCTGTTGTTTTGTGCTGCAGCTTCACCTGCTGAGTTTCCTGAGGCGCCACTTTGTTCCACCTGTAGGTTTTCTCCAGATTATATATTTTTGTTTTGTGGTCTAGTTGATGAAGCTTAGAAAAAGTTCAGTGATCCAAACTGCCCGTCTGGTACACACTTTGAGGTCTGCGTTGATTTTCAGCGTAGCACTTCCTCTCTACCATCTCCCATGCTCCCTGTAGTCAGCCCTCAGAGTGGTATTACAGCTCCAGGTCATGTTCAATAAGCTCCTCGGGAAATCCCATTCAAGTCAGAGCAGTCAAGTTCTGAAAATGCTCTCTTGATCTCGGTGCTCATCAGAAGACATTTTCCCAGTTGTAATAGTTTCTCGGCTGCTTTGCTGGGTTAATACCCCGAGAGGAGCGTTCAATCTGCGCTGCAGTTGCTTTTACAAAACAGTGAGATTTAGAGTTTTTAATGAACTGTCTCATAAACTTTGTAACCCTGTTTTGATTAAATGCGCCCCTGAGACCACATATTCAGTGGAGGCATGGCATGAAAAACAATCTTAACCTCCACAGTCCAACAAAATTAGCATGAGGATTCCAAATGAGGTGCCAGACCTCCCCCCTGATAGTCCGAGGTATCGATTGACAGCTGCCTGGGCCTTTCCAAGTGACCTATCAGGCAAAACTCTCCACCAATCTGCAGTGGGAGGGAGCAGGGACTCTGCTGACAGGAAGTCAATGTGTGGAATCATGACTCCGGCACTCTGTTAATTGGAAAGAGACATTACCTGAATTTGAATGAGAGGCTGTGTGTTTTTTTTTCTCCCCTGCTGCTTGATACCTTCAGTAGACTCCAGCTGTGACTGCATGCTGGGGCGTCTTGATTTACTCTGCGAGCAGCCTTTTAACATCAGAATCAGAATTGCCTCACAGTTTACAAGGTTTCACGGTGCATGCTGGCAGACATGATACAAGGACAGCAGCACCGTGATCCCACAGTGCAACAGAGTGGGAAGGCAACTATAGATATTGAAATCAGCAGAGGGAACATTTGATTCAGTGAAGAGAGAGTAGCCATTTAATAAGCACAATCATAGAGACGCTCACATGTTCACAATGTATATGTGAACTTATTTATCTTTTAGTGAAGTCAACAAGTTCCTGCCATAAGGTCTGTTATTTGACACTGTAAAATTATCAAACCAATCACCAGAAAAAATACTGGTAACGTATGTTCTGCAAACCAAAAATGTTGCATTTGCACTTTATTATGTAGCTGGTATGATTACACTTTACATTTCAACAACGCTGTGGTTATTTAGGCAGAAAAACACTTTGTAATGGTGAGAAAAAGATCATATTATAGCTTAAAATACCCCGTTCAAGGGGCACAATCCTGTCAGGACAAGCAGCTATGTTTCAGTAAAAACAATTGATTTTTGTGCAACTGGAAAAATAGTGACAGGTTGCTACAAAACACCCACATTTGTTGCCTAAAAAGCTGATGGAAACACAGCAATGACTTGTCAAATCCCAGTCGGTCTTGTTGTTGGTTTGATCAGTGATTTGGCTGGTCTGATGCTGTGCAGGTGTCAAACCCTCCACCATCCCCTTCACCTCCCGATGATAAAGTCAGCTCATACTACGTCACTTAAGTAACATTGATATGATACGTATGAAACATACAAATGTAATGTATTTGCAGAAATGTACAAATCTGACATTCGCCTCTGGCACCTGGGCTGAAAATCATCTAAAGGGGGAATTGTCTACACTGAAACAGTCACTTAGAAACATCCGTGTGTTTAACATCCCTCTGCATGTCATATGCAAATTGCTGCTGTACTTTGGCTTCACAGTGCCTGGAAATTATCCTTGGCATATGAAAGTCAAGTAACGACTGAGCAGGTGCACAAAAGATGAAAGAAAAGAGGAAATCCGTAATCTATTATAAAGACGGGATGAGAACTGAGGGTCCGTCCTCTGAAACTGGAGAGTCACGTATCCGTTCAGTGTTTTCATGTAAGTGTGTTTTGTGTCCTTTGTTAATCCAGCCATTTGTGTTTTTTTGCTGGATAAGGCTTTGCATACCAAGGCAGGGAGAGTGGTAACTCATAGAGGCCTTCCAATGGAGTTGGGATGACTAGTGCCTGGTTGTAGAAAACAGCTATTCAGTTGGATGAATGCAGCTTTGTGGCGCCCATAGAGGTTCCTGAATGCGGCTTCACCTCCCCCAGGGCTGCACAGCATAGCACTCAGTTCTCACACTCACAGATAACACAGAACACACACACATAGACAGACAGACAGACAGACAGACAGACAGGCACAGAGACAGACAGATGGACAAATGTACAGACATCCCAGACACACTCGTTATGAAATGCACCTGCTACCGGGTGTCATTTTCACTAAGCACAGTAATTCTGTTTCATTTACATATGTTATGCAAGTTTGAAAAAATAAAATAAAGTGCAACAACATTCAAGTGGACTGATTTGCCCTTGTTCCTTGACCCGAGCTCACTCAGTGTCCACCAAATGTCATTCAAACCTGTAACCAGGTTTTTGAGATGCAGACTGAGCCGTGGGAGTGAAACATCCTGCAGATAATAAGATAAAACAAACACTACAGGGCCACAAATGTAACTCCTGTTAAGATGTTAGTCAGGTCAGTGGCAGGAGAAACACACACACACACACACACACACACACACACACACACACACACACACACACACACATACACGTCACACCACATCTCTCACACCCACAACAGGCGTGCACGAGCGTTCACAGTGATCAAAGTGGGTCACAGTCAAAGTGACAGATGTGTAAAGGATGTCCTTCTTGTGTTAAGCACTGCACCTTTTGTTTTCTTTGTCTGTTGTTTTTATTCCTCTTCTGTTCTCCACTTTTTTTTCCCTCTGACCTATTTATCCCGACCCGGCTTTTCATTTTGCTGCCGGTGCTCGTGCTCATCTGTCACTGTAGTGTCTTTTCATATGGAGAGATCCAGTAGGAGAGGCTGTGTGTTGCCTCCCGATCGGGGCTCCTCCTAGATGATGGAGCGAGCTGCCAGACATCTTTAAACACACTTTAATGACCTTTCTCGTGTCATTTGTTTCTCTTGTCTCTGGTCAGGCTTTGTCTATCTGTCAAATGTCACATGTCAGGTGAATCTCAAAAAGTCTGGCTCTTATTTTGATGAAACTTTAACAGATGAATAAAAATGCATCAGGACAATAATGGTTACAGTGGCCTATTTTATGTTGAATTCTTTTCACTGTAAAGCTTCTGGACATGTTTCTGTATGCTTTGCAACTCACATAATTACAAGATAAAACAATATTATTTCTGCTTTTAGAAAAATAACCTTCCTCAAAAGAAAATCTCTTCCTGTACTTTAAAGGTACAGTCTTGAAAATCTGTGTTTTGCTCTCGTTGGTGGCACATGGTGATGAGCTGTAAATGCAGGTCTTCCTAAAGATTCATCACCCGTCAGGTGTAGATTATTAACGGTTTACTTTCTTCTGAAAATGAAAAAGTTTGTTCTAGTTTCTACGAATGTGCACTAGTTAGCCAAGCTAAAATAACTTGGATATTGGCGCTAACATCTTGTGCCGATGATATCATTTGGAGCCAGAGTCAGCACAGTAGCGATTGGGAAGTGGAGCCATGGTATCAGGTTCCCACCCATCCGACTCCATCACAAGCAGCACCATTGATCCCGAGCATGCCAATAGACACACAGCTGTCAGTCATGACGTTACACCTTCTTTATGTAGCATTAAATAAGTAATAAAAACAAACACTTGAACATATATCAGTGTGATAAGAACGACCTAAAATGAAAAAATCTGTCTTTGGGAAAAGATAATTTGACATGTGTTTGATCTTTTAGTTTGGCCAACTTGTTCACATTTCAAAGTTGTCAAATACTGTCGCTCAGTCTTGATTTCCACTGAAGACACTGATGAAAAACAGGCATCCTTTAGTGGTAGAGTTTTATGCTGTTGGGCTGCATCAGTTCATAATGCCACCGGACTACAATGTAGTTT